CTCCATCCATTCTCTTCTCCCATATTTTGAAGCAAATCCCAAACATATCATTTCATCTGTAAATATTTCTGCAATTATCTTTGAAGCATATGAACTCAAAAGTCCTTTTTTAATGTGACCAAATAACACTATCACACCCCAAAATCATGTTTTATGTCTTTGAGGCAATACCCTTTCTCTACATACTGCCTTATCTCTCAGTATGATAATTCTAGCAGTCTTCTGCCTGGCTTTAGTCCTTTCCTTAGCAACATGCTAGTACATCCAAAGGCTGACAGCATTTGGGAAGCTCTTAACAGCAGGGCAAAGCACCAAAGGTCACTGACAAAGTCATTCAAACACTTCTTGCTGTGCCCCTGAAGTGTATCACAAGAGCCCATGCCCTTCCTGTGGGCTGCTTAACAGTGTGTGCTGGATTCCCAACAAGCCTGGAGAAAAGTGAAGGCATATTTCAGGAAACTGCAATAATAATCTACTTAGATATTACATCACTAATGATGCAAAAGTCAGAGAAGTCCAAACAGGAGGCACACACGGTGTCAAATAGCCATGCCAGCCAGAGTGCTCCCTCACATACTTTGGACATGTTATCAGAAGGGACCAGTCCCTGGAGAAAGACATCATGCTTGAGTCAGTAAAAAAGAGGAAGACCCTCAACGAGACGGACTGACACACTGGCTGCCACAATGGGCTCCAACATAGCAACAGTGGTGAGGATGGTGCAGGACCAGGCACAGGGTCGCTATGAGTCGGAACTGACTCAATGGCACCTAACAAAATAACAACAAATGTGTTTCATATGGCTACAAGACACAAACCTCCAACACCGGTGAGAATGTGGATTTCCAGTATTTCCAATTTAAATCTTCCTTTTGCAACAACCCTACGAAGTACAGAGTGCAGGTTTACACCCAAGTATTGACTAGCTTTAGGTATTGACTGCTTTTATATTTTTCACCATGTCAGTTATAATGCCTGGACAAGTTTAATAAATCATGTATTTGCTGAGCAATTACCACATGCCAGGAAATGCAAAAGATATAAGAGAACTATAAGAAATAGTTATTGCCCTCTAAGAGCTTACATCCTGATTGAAGAGACATGCTCACATACACACTGCAAAAACTATGAAGAGAATGTGGCAAGGCAGCTAGATCTCTTCAGAAGAGAGAAAACCAAGTGGCTAACCTAGGCCTGTTCCACGGTCTTTCTGTAAGCTCAGAAATGAACACATCAGGTCCTAAATTCCTCGGAGAGGAGGGGAGCATGCAGAGACTAGCTGACCGCAGACAACCTAAGGGACTATTTATAGCAAGCAAAAGAGAACAAACATATGTCTTGACGATGCATTGAAACAGAAGGTCCATGTAAAGCAGCATATCTTTAAAATGCTGCCTGCAGTGTGGAAGACCGACCAAATTCTCTTCTCCCAAAAGCCTGAGGTTAATGTCTATGTCCTAAAGACAGAGTCTCAAAACCAGGTATTCAGGAGTGATTACAGATTCCAACCAATGTACCAAATTGGTTTTCTTCAGATCTCCTCATTCATTCTTGTGACACATAAGAGGTTTTCTGTAACATTTTGTTTATTGTAACATACGCCTCTTTTTCCAAAGCCCACAATCAAACCTACAATTATTTATTTTAATTTCACCAATATGTTAACATTTTCTTATGAAGAATAAAACTTCAATCACCCTTTAATCATAAATTAGGAGTCATGGAAGATTGAAGCCAAGAAATCTTCAAAATTTTTACCTTCCTTACCTAAAAATAGTTCTGCGATTCGATTCTGAAATTAGAGAGTACCCACCACCCACTGCCTCATCCCCAATGAAAATCCAGTAAAATGACCAAAGATAAAGTTCACTGAAATACGAGATTTTATTTCTAATTTTAAGGAAGGTTGACTTAAAGCATTACAAATTGTGAAATACAAATAATTGTATTCTATAAAGAGTTAGGTCACGATACATTTCATCAACACTGCAGGCTGCTTCTCTTGAAGCTTTAGTATAGAAGAGGATGAAATTTTACCTGTCATATATTTAAGAAGTACACACAAAACTACAGGAAAAGTACATAAAGTTTCTATTTCCTTTCAATATGCACAATCTAATTTAAAGAATAAAATACTAATATCAGCTTTAGTCAAAAGAAGGAAAATTGATTTTAATGAACAGGCATTAAATAAAACCTATGAACCCACAATTCTTCTTCTCCCTACTAAAGGACAAAAAAAATACTTTCTGTGTAGCATGGGGTCCTTATGATACTGTGAAATCTCTGTGAATATTGGCTTTTGGTTTTTGTGCACCTAATTCTTTCATGCAAGCCTTACCCTAAAACTGAAAAATGGTAGTGAAAGGGAAAGAACCATTTGAATGTTGTTGAAGATCACCAGGCCTACTGACAACAATGCACTATCCCGGCTTTGACCATTGCTCTAGGTCATATTTTCTGACAGGTTTTCCATACTTGTTTTCTTTCTCCCACATGCACAGCTTGAACAGATTTACTGCTAACGAAGCTGAAGAACGTATTATGAAATAAGAGTAACACTGTAAAATGCAGACTGATTTTTCACTTCTTTTTAATCAGCAAGCTATCCTCTCTGAAACAAATGTTATGGTCTATATGATTTGTTAAACTTACAACATGAGTTGTGCAGAAATGCATTTTATTAAAAATCAGTTGCCTTGGAGTCGATTCTGACTCATGGTGACCTCATGTGTGTCAGAGTACAACTGTGCTCCATAGAGCTTTAAATGGCTGACTTTTCTGAAGTAGACTGCCAGGCCTTTCTTCCGAGGCACCTCTGAGTGGACTCAAACCTCCAATCTTTTGGTGAGCACCAAGTGTCTTAACTGCCCAGGAACTTCCTAGGTGGTGTAAACAGTTAATGCACTCGGCTGCTCACTGAAAGGTTTGAGTCCACTCAAAGGCACCTCAGCAAAAAGGCCTGGAGATCTACTTCTGAAAAATCAGTCACTGAAAATCCTATGGGGTACAGTTCCACGGTGACACACATGGGGTTGCCATGTCTGAAATGACTCCTCGGAAACTGGTTTGATTTTATTAAACTGATTATAATGCATCTAGACTATGAAATGAATTAAGAAAATAGAACTCCGCAGATAAAAAACAAATGCTTCCTATGGTTTGGTCTGAATCAGTAAAGGTAAAAACTATGCAGACAGTTTGGAGGATATACAGTTTAACCAATGAGTCAGGATAGAAAATTGAGGTGAACACATGACTTTTTCCGAATGTTAGCCTACACTAACAAGTAACATGAAAAACTGCTACAACGTCTCTTCTTTCATGATGCTTCATTGCCTAAATCTTGGGCTGAATTTACGTGAGTCAGTTACTATGTCTTGCATAGAACTGAAGAGTCACATTATTGGCTGACATATTCGGCAAAACTCACTTTAGAGCTAGAAAACACAACACTGATCATAAAGACGGAATGACACCCTCTACCATGATGGGGATCTGTTTCAAACACAGGCTTACACTGAAGAGGACAAATATATACTGAGATGCTGCATACTCTGCCACAGACTCTTCAGAATGGGGAAGTTTTTTAAAAGACCCTCTAATACCACCCTCCACATACATGCCTTTGGATGTCCTCATACTGAAATCCTTTTGGTATATCAGTATCCCCATCCATTAAATGGGATCCTAGATGAACTCATCCACACTGATTTTTTATATTACAATGCTGCTATTTACATTTTGATTTATTTTGATTGTTCAATTGCAAATCATTGCTAATTTGTTTTTTGTTTTGATTTTTTAAATAGGAAATATACTAATGAGGTTAAGACTATATATTGATTTATGTCCTTTTTTCAGTCATCTGTGGTGCTTTGGTGGAGGATATGTGATAAGAAAGGAAGCCAGTGTGCACTTGGACACATGAACAGTACTTCCCCCTTTCTGTATGAAGTGGGCAGCCCACACTGTAAGCAATCATGCTACCTTATTTTGATTGTAACTAGTAAAGCTATAAATGTTAGCAATTATGAAATCTTCTATATTCTTTAAAAAAATCTACTGTGCTCTTGTTTTTTATATTTTTCAGTAGTCATAAACGAATTCATCAATTTGGCTAGGTAAAGAACCTTTCTTTTTCTTTTCTTTCAGTGAAAATATACACAACATATGCCCATTCAATAATTTTTACACACACATTGACAATGGTTACATACATCACATTGTGTCACCATTCTGCCTATCTCTACCCGTTAAAGTTTCTGTCTGTGTTTCAGAGTTACTGCTATCCATTTAATCTCATACAGATAATTCTTTAAAAGAATGTAATGCTCAAAGCAAACACTCTTTATTAAATGAGCTATACTGTTGTTTAGTTTAAACATGATGTCATGGGATGCTTTTGGTTCAAGACTTTTAAGTTGTTTCCAGGCAATAGAGTCAGTGGCTCCTCCAAGCTCAATGTATCCAGTATGTCTGGTTTCCAATCTTTTGCTTTTATAAACTTTTCAAATTCACTGACTTTAATACATCAACTACCCACTAGTTCTTATGGAGTGAAATGGGTAAACAGAAATGTCAAAAGAGAAATCCATCTAATGGTTCCATACTTGTAATTCTGTGTCATTCCCTAATTTACCAAGAACTAAGTTGTTTTGATATTGAGATTACATTCACACCTTATAGATTAATCCTTCCTCTTTGCTTTGGATTTTTATTATCTTTTCAAAACATGCACCAATTTAAATACAATCATAATATCTAATGAGGTCACTATTCCTTCCTAATTACAGAAAGGTTATCTTTTGCAAATGAGTAATATTTGAGGTTACAAGTGGGTGAGAATCAACCAGTCTTGGATGATTTTGCCAGAGAGATAAAAGCTTAGGCAAGGGCAAAAAACAGAAGGGTTCCACAAGCCTCCAGATGCTCTGGAAATGACTGCCACTATCATAAAGAGGGGGTAGTGAGGGCATAGTCTGGAAACCTCTGCTTACCCCTTGATCAGATTCCAACAGCTCTGTTTTGACTCTGACTGCCGGCATTCCATCAAGCATTAACATTCTGTTCTCAAAGGTGTTGATATTCTGAGAATAAAAAAAGAGAGAGGGGGAAAGTCAGCTATAAAACATTCAAAAGAGGACATCTGGTAGAGTCTTTCTTCACTGTAGTACGTTCAGTAGGGTAACCTAATTTTTTAACAATGAGGTGTAATTAAATGAGACTATCAGCATAACCAATTATCCCTCCAATCTGAACTTTCATTTGAAGTAATGGCCAAGATGTTGAATTAATCACTCTGATTCTCTGACCTCTGGGTTGGAGGTCAGACCGTAATAACCTGGAATATGGAAACCTTACATTAATTTATATGGGGCTGGAACAATTCATCACACTTTTGCAATACTGGAAGGAAATATAAGTCAGGTTCCTGGGCAGAAATCCATAAAGAAAAAGATAAAATGAAAAAAATAATTTATATATGGTTACACTATTATCAAAGTCTAAATAATTTTAAAAATAAGAATATAAATCTAGGTATACTAAATTTTGATACCATGACAATCCTGGTCAAGTGAGAATTTCTACACATCAATCTTGGAACATTTAATATTTTTAAGACGACCATTGTATGTCTAGGAGTGAGGTTGAATTTATAAACTGAGGTCATAATCAAGGAATAAATAATTTGTTTTCTTTTCTGGTATATGTCTGGCTCAAATTAGTACTTCTTGAAAGGAAAACCTTATCTCTATTGTGGCTCAACAGAATTTTAAACGATATTTATAAAAAGATGAAACCAAGGTTATTGTCTATTAATTTTCACTGCTTTGGGGATTTCCTGAAGTCAATAACCCATGAGAAGAGGCAGAAAGTCAGTACCCACTTAAAGTCAAAATCAGGCTTATATTTTAAAACATGTTTAGAATGCAAACTTTGCCTTATATAATGACTACTAAGAAACTGGTATGACTAAATTTGGCTCTACATGAGTGTTTATCTTTGCTCAGTAAATGTAAACACATGACTTTAGTGTTTTATTAAAAGAAAAAAAGTCAGTTTCTATTTATTTTGCCTACATGGTGACAAATATTAATATATTTCTAAACCCTCAGTTTTTCACCTTTCATAAGCTGCTTTCCCACCAAACTGACAGTCAAAGAAAAAAATATTTCCATGACAACAAATAATAAATTAAACATTTTTACTACCAAATGATACCAACAGAGTGCAGTGAAGTGAAACTAATTATTTCTCATATTTCTTAACTCTTCTTTTTGTTGAAGAAAAATACTCTAAGACATAAAATTTACAAGGTCTCTTATCATAAAAAAGAAAAAGCACATTTAACTCTAGAGCTAATAAATGGGCATTTTAAAACTCCATGCCACCTAGGCTATTAGGCAATTCAAAGAAGAAAACAAATTATTTTCATGTTCTTCCCTAAAAATGCACAATATTATTAAAATTAGCAGAATAATTAATTTTTGTTGTTGTTTTTGACCTGTCCATACTTTTTAGTGAGACCGCATCCTAACAGGCAGCTTAGAGTAGAAGGAACTGTGGTATTACTGGCCAGCTCAGTTAATTTGCTCCAAACTTGAAATCCTTTCATGGAGGCCTGTGGTTGTTTACACATCAGACATGAATCTCAAATCCTAATGTGTTGCTTGTTTCCGTGGCTGGAAGCAGCCAGCTTGGCATGCCCCCATCCAGTCTCAGAATGGCCATCCTGCAGCCAGAGAGCCTTGCTTTTCACAGCAGCACCAGAAATCTACTGTAACAAAGCATCCCCTAGGTTGTTAGGCTGGTAGACAATGAAGGATGGGTTGATATTGCTTCCTACCCTGGAGGAGGTCTTGCCCAGATGAAAAAGGAAGAAGCTGCCTCATAAGGGAGGCCCACGCTAAGGAGGGGAAAACACAAAGAGCAATTCTAGAAAGGCAGGTTTAATGAACTGTTAGAATCTGATTACAGGCTAATGTCCCTTTTAGTGCTTTGTACCAATTTACAGCTGATATACTTCAACCATTTTCCCACTGGTTGTGATAAACTCATTAGTTTAAAAAATGCAAGCTAACCAGAGTCTTTGAAGTTAAAAACTGATAAATCACAGAAAACCTGACTGAGTCCATGTCCTATTTAGCACATTTAAATATCACTGTATTTTCATCACGGTTGTGTTGTTGTTTTTGAACAATTCTACATGTGGTAAAGTCAGGATGTACAGCTCAGCTTCATGTAAAAGTGAATAAAATAAAACACATTTGTGTTTTTTTTTTTTTAAAGAAATCAAGTTTTTCCTGGAAATATTTCTCTTTCCACGACTTTCCAGAATTCTGCACAGACACAACCATAATAAACACTGTAACTAAAAACGTTCGCAGCTAGGGAACCAAACCTTAACTGTTAAACTCACTTACTACAGATTCAATCTGTATATATACCTGAAAGTTATCATGTTAATATATGTGAAGTATATTAATCTCTGCATTCATGATTCTAACCCTGTTTACCATAAGTACTGAGCATCACAGATGTTCTAAGCCATCCAGGAAAGAACATGTAATTATACAATATTGAAGATACAGTCCTTGGAACAAAACATCAATAGCGCTATGTCTCTAAGCTCAGATCAGATATATACAATCTCAGAAGACTATAGACTTTAAATATGTAATAGGGTCTAATAACTTGGAATTATTGTCATACACATCTTGCCATGATCTTAATCAAAACACGTTTGCTGTGGAATCAATAGCACAATTGATTCCCGAGAGGTAAATAAAATTACAGTCATCAATTTTAGCATTATGATACTCTTTGTATTTATGCTGTAACATTTTGATACTATACAACCATCAGAATTACAATTTATGTATATGTGTCTGTGTGTGTATATATATATATATATATATATATATTCACAGATTTACATACCTATACTCTTATACGTGTTTTCATATGACTAGATTTTATCAATTACAGCAAAATTTACCACTGGATTTGTTAGCTGGCTGTTGACTAGTCCCTTGTACACCAGATGAGAACGGTATTCTGGATGTTTCTACTTGCCAAATAAGATTTGGCAACAACACAGAAGTCCAGTCTGCAGTTAAAAGCTTCCTAGTAAAGGCCATGTAAGCACAATTGTCTTTGATTCCAACATCTCAAAATAATCTGAATAAATGTGTAGCAAGGAGAATGGACTGACTCTTAATTATTGTAACTAATAAAAACATAGAATAGGAGTAACTTTCCAGGTCAGCTACTACAAGTTGCCCACCTATCCCCATACTACAGTCATGCTCCCTAACTGTTTGCACAACTGGGGTAATAAAAAGCCAGCCAGTCAATATTCAGTAAACCTACATTTTTTTTTAAAAAGGTCTCTTAACCAAAAACTAAACCTGTTGCCATTTTCAGTTAGCAGCCAAGCACTTCACCACTGCGCCTCCAGGGCTCCTTAAAAGGGTCTCTTACTAAGCCAAAAGTATCGACTAGTATTTGATTTGCTCTCTGGAGGTTCAGGACATATTCTGACACCACATATTTATCCTTCTTAAATCTTCTTGTTTAGCTACAGTGATGAGAAATATGAATAACCCCCACCCCCATTCCCCTGTTATGTAACATAGTGATGTAGTGAACATGTGTGGCTTGTGATTCAGGATTCACTGCACCAAGTTGGTTAAGGCACTTTCATGGCATATTGTTAAAGGTTTATAATGCACGCATGCTGCCAACTGGTGAAAACTATCATCCTGTGGGACTTTTCTTATAGAAAAAGTAACAGAATCAGACTGAGTCCAGTACAGCTAGATGGTGCCCGGCTACCACCACTGACTGCTCTGACTAGGATCACAACAGAGGGTTCTGGACAGAGCTGGAGAAGGATGTAGAGCATAATTCTAACTCACAAAAAAAAAGACCAGATTTACTGGCCTAAAGGAGACT